ACTTAGTATTTGGTGATGAATTTCCTCAGCACTAATTTTTGGGGCAAATACCAGCAGCACTTTCACTTAATTTAAAAATATGCCTAGTCTGTGATTTTAGCAATATTTAGGCAATATGTTAATGTGTTTTATTAAAAATTGGAAACCAGACCTTCCTTTTACAGTGATAAAATTAGGAATCTATAAAGTCTAACTCCATATCCTTGATGGCTTCAGAATTTGTTCGTTGTGGTGTTGTCTTAAGGGAAGTCTGAAAATGCAATTTCAATAAATAGAATTTTTAAAGGGACAACAGTTATCAAATTACATGCAGTCTTATTGTCTTCTATTGCAGCTGGCAATAATTCATGACATTTAATCACAGATATTTGACAATAAGAAGCCTTGGATGATTGGTTTATTTATTTAGTTACTTAGTTTTAATCAGTCATGTCACAAACAGTCTCCCAGGACTGGAAGAAGGCAACCAAAACTTAAGCTACCAAAATGTAACTGCCATCTGGCTGGCTCATCTATAATGATTTGCTTTGTGAATGTCTTTCTCTCTTCTTTCAACTACAGAGAAACTAAGAGTTTAGTATTATCAATATTATCAAACTAAGAGTTTCTCTGTAGAGAAACTGATAAAGAGAACTGATAAAACTAAGAGTTTCTCTGCAGCATACTATTGTGCAACAGCAGAGCTCATTCCTGGATGCTAGCTGCTTTTTCTCTGGTTGAAGCTACTAGTTTGTTTCAGTTATAGTCTTACAGATATATATGGCAAAATTTTTTGTTCAGTAACAAAACAGTCTGTGGTTTGGATCCAATTGGATCCAGTATTTAAAAGCAAAACATTCGTGCAGTTGGATTCAACAGAGGCTCTTATTCTTAACCTAAATCTTGTTTGATAATATCCTCTGTCTCTTAGAGATATACAGTACCCTTCAATTTCTGTTAAAGGAAAAATGTGACAGGAAGAGAATTGAACCTGTAAAGTCTCTTGCTTACATATGTGATTGCATCATCACTGAATCGTGATGTCTTAGTTTGTTGAGAGGGAACTTTACTGTTCCATATCTGTTTCAGTACTATTTTCATGTACATCTTTGGCCAGAATTCCAGTTAGTAATTTGAAAGTATTTCAGAGGCATAATGTAGTTGTTACTTTTAAATATCACACATAGTTACATCATGCTACCTTGATTGCAACAGCTGGCCTCACATATTTGAAGCCTTAATCTGTTAAGGGACAGCAGTTATTAAGGAAACAGGTAAGTGATGTTTGGACTGTATTTGGGAGTATCTGTATACCTAATGTATGGAATGGATGTTCAGTCATTGAATTTGACAAACACTGAACACTAAGAATTTAAAGAAGGCTTAATCTTCAGTTGTGCTGAGCTTTCATGAATAATGTATGCGTTCAGCAATCCTGAGAAAATTCAGTTGTATTTGGAGAAGTATGGGAATATATTCAAGGTGTCATCACACAATATCCCTTGTGAAAACTGTAAGAAATTAATTTTCTTTACAATCTATGATAAGATGGCAACTCAGAATCAAGGATTGCCTCAGGTAAAAAATAACTTATTTCCCCAAAAGGGAAGAGTTAGGTTCTAATAAATATTGCCTTTATATTCACAAAGGTTGCCAACAGTAATCCTCATAGCTAGTGCAAAAAAATCTCTGGAAAAATCCTTTGCTTAAGAGCTGTACTTGTCAATAGAAGAGAGGTGCTTCCTACTTCATATATATGCAGTATTTGGACAGGACTCTACATCTAGAGAAGCAATGGGAAACAACTCTCATACCCCCAAAATACCTGAAAAACAAAGAAAAAAGAAAAATTTTCTTGAGGTAGTAATGGGTATGTTCTCTGCTTTCTCTGCATGTTCTTTCATTTGGTAACATGCTTCTACGTCATTAAAAGATACTGTAAAGTTTGTTTCTCTTCATACTTGTATTTATATATGATTCTACCTATCTGCAGAACTCTACATCTGTGTGTCATATAGCTATTAAAATTATTTTCTTAATTCAGTAGTTTACATGCAAATTCAGCATAATTTCTGAATCATTTTTCCATCGTCTTATGCATACAGTACCTGTAGGGGATGGAATGTATTATGAACGAGGTGCAATCAACCAAAGCCCATAAAGAGGTCTGTCAGAATGAAAACTCATAGGTATCTATTGCTACCAATAAAATGTTTCTCTACAACTGGGAAATTTATGGAACACTCCAACGATTTCATTTCCATGGTAATGCATGTTAAAAACTGTGAAGGTAGAGACTTGGAATACAAGCATGGATCCTAACCTTACTAAGAGTTCCCAAGCTGCTCAGGCCAACTTTAGTACTTAGCTGTGTGTTCCTTTTTTTAGTCATATTGTAAATTTACAGATAGGATTTTTAAAAATTAGGATGAGAAATATTTAGTGGTACTTTCATAAAATACATCGGCGTGAAGGTTATGAAGCTTTTCGAAGAGCAAGAGGAATTCTGTGTTCTTTCTATCATCCAGGTAGAAATGAATTTGTTTCCTTCCAGAAATATCTAAGGTTATTTAACTTTAAAACAGTAAATGAGAGGGTTTTTACACAAGATTTGGTAGTTGTTTATACATGAGTAATTCCTCACACACTGACAAAATTGTTGAGCTGAAGGCTATAATTTAAGTGTTTGATTTTCAAGATGTATGATGAGTCTGCTTTAAGTCTTTCAAGATGTATGATGAGTCTGCTTTAAGCATGGATCAAGATACCATTTAAAGCATTCTTACAGAGCAACCAACTAGGCTCAGTGTTAAAGCCTTCTAGTTGGGGAGGTGGTGGCTTAGCTACTAGTAATTAACTGGAATATCTTTATTAGTTATGGAAAACTGGAAATGCAAAAACTCCGCACAGTTTTAACGATAGCTTAAGTATTGCAAGTTTATCTGAAACAAGCTATTTTGGTAATTATTTCTTCTTCTTTGTCTCTCAGAGCTCTTTCCTTGAGACTTCATGATGCCTTACGTGTAACTTTTAATTTCTATAGAAATTCTGTCAGAATGATAAATTAGACTGGGAAAATATATCTTTGTTGTCAAAACCTTTTAATTTACTGTACCTCCTTTGTATACACGACAGTAATAACTGTTTCTGTTGACCATTAAAGAAGAAAAGAATTTGGTAAGGTAGCTGGCTTTTGTCATCTTCCTGACAGTATAGTTTTAATTATGTTTGCTTGTGTGACTAACCTAAAGCTGCTGAAGTTGTTAGAAGTTGCTTCAAAAATGTCACTGAGATTTACTGGGCAAGTACATCCTGGCATATAAAAGTACAGCAGAAGATATAGAAAACATCAAGGAGAAAATAACCTGATTATATCTGCAACAGCTTAAGTAAAATGCATCAGTAATGGTGTTAATGTAGGATGCAATCCAGCTGAAACAGGATTTGTGGTCAATATATTTAACCAAGTACATTAATAGTTTCAACTAGAATATAAGCCCTTGCCAAGTATATCTTCCCATGTCAGTAGGAATGGGTTGTGCATGTTCTGGGGCGGGGGTGTCAGGTCTGCATGGCAGCATGGTGCGATGTGGGGGTAGTCCCACGCTGCTTGCTGGGTATAGGAGGTGCTGCAGGAGAGGAACTTCTCCATCACTGGGGGTAATTCAAAATTCTAAGTCCTCCTCTTCCATTTTCTATGCCACTGTTTATTTTCTAAGTTTATTCTAATTTTAAAACACTGTCATTGAGGCTTTGTTTATTTTGCTTTGGCGCAGAGGAGAAGGAAGGGAGGAAGGAACTGAGAAATACCAGCATGTACTACTTTTACAGTATTACTTGTAGCTATTCAGCAGAAAGCTGGCAATGCTGTTGATTTAAAAGTTTTATGGTTACAGCAGCTTGGGACGAGTTAAGGAAGACTGGGAATCTGGGATGTGTTTCATCTCTCACCTCATACCATACACCTTTTTTTTTTTCCTTTCACTATCTTAGATATCTTTTAGGAAGGTACAGACCATCATAGCTACTGACCTTGACAGAAATTTTGATATTTCCTATACTTAGATTTTTAAACATTTACTAAATTTTGCAAAATAAGATTTCAAAAATCTTACTATTTTTACTGTGCTAAATGTATATGATTTTAAGTGTAAACTGATTGCAGTGAGGTTAAGTGGCAGAGTATTTGGGATGTTTCAGTCTCAGCTTTGTCATTGAAATAAGCAGACATTGCCAAGACTTTGACTGTCTTCTGAACCATGCACTTGATTGTGGAATTGGATATCTGCAAGCTGCAGGATTTGATGGACCGCTAGCACAATTTTCCATGGCACACATAGGGTTCATGTATTTTACCTCTGAATTTGCTGTGATATGAGCATGATAGCAACTACTGCCATTTTAAAGACCGCAAGATCTAGGAAGCTTTCTTCCACAAATATATAAGTATTTTTCTCTCTCTGAGTGGCAAATGTACAGTAAAACAATCTTTTGGAGATTTAAAATGAAATAGTGTTGTAAGTCTGTAGCTATTAGGAATTTTTTGGATGTTCTTATAAAGGGTATTCTAGTAAATTATGTTTAGAAATGTTAAAAAATATAATTTTTTTAAGGTGTTAGCTCTGAGTACTGCTCATCGCTTTGTTAGAGCATGGCCGTTGTTACAGGAATTTACTGGCCATCTTGCCTTGAAAGCCATCAAACGTTTTGCCATAGATTTCACTGATGTGGTTACAGGAACTGTATGATTGGGATTTGGGGATAGTGAAAGATATAATCATAATATAAGATGATTGCATGAGGTAACTGCCTTGCCGACTGCTTGTGGTTAGGAGCAGAGCTGTCTTCTGCAATGCATTTGCAATTTGTACTTTTTTCTTCATTGTTGACTTGCAGTGTAGTCTTTTCTGCTGCTCCCAGGAGCAACAGGACTCAGTATTTCAAAGGTGAGTTTTCTATAAAACTAAGGTGCATCTTCCATTCTAATCTGTATTTACTGTGGGTTTTTTCCCCCCTTTCAGGAGGATACAGATCATAATTATTACACTTCAAGGACGTATGGCCCGTATGATTCTACTAGCCGGGATTTGTGGGTCAATATAGACCAAATGGAGAAAGACAAAGTAAAGATTCATGGGATCCTTTCCAATACCCATCGGCAAGCAGCAGTAAGTTATTATACCTTCTTCTTCTTTAACTGACATGGATATTTTTCACCAGTGACCAACACAGTAGTGTATTACTAAGTATTGTGATTACTGTTCACAGAGCTTTATCTTTCAATTTTAGTTAAGCTATGAAAGTCTGCACAGTGTTTCTGTCAAACGATTCCAAGTTGCCTTTTTGCACCTGCTATAACAGTCCTTCAGAGATGCCTTTACAGATATATTTAAAATTCACCTCTGTTTTTAAGGATCACAAACCATCAAACAATAAACTAGTTGTGTTGCTGAAGTCGGAGGGAATTTTACCATTGACTTCAATAGCAACAGAGCTGGGTTCAGGATTAAGTTGAAGTTTAAGTCTCCCATGGAGTATATCTGTGTTTGCACTTACATTTTGTACGAAGTGTCACACTTATTTTTTCTTTTGGGAGAACTGAGAAAACTCATGGGAATGTCATATAGTAACAGAAATAATAGATGGGATCACAATTTCAGGGTGTCAACAAATAAATATCACAGAGTGTAAATACCAATCTTGTTTAACTTATTGTAATCATGCTGCCTAGTAAAATGGGTATGAAAATAAAGGGCTTACATGCTTAGAAGTGAAATTGAATGCTGCATGATTTATAGATTGTATTCTCAGATCTCACCTGTGGCTGGGAACTGCATACATAGAAGAGCCAATATTAGCACGAATTAAATACAGAAAATTACAACTCAGAATTGTGGTTCATGAGATTCTTATTTCGTCCATTCATCAACTTAGGTCCAACAAAAAGTCCTTGGGTTTTGCCAGTTTAAAAACAAAATCTAGTTAATGCCTTATTTAAAAGTTGTACAGTGTTTAAAGATGCAGGTGTGTTTAACGGTGTAAAGCTGAGAGAAAAGCCAAGTTTAATTAATCTTTCTCTCAATTTAACTGTTATCTTCTTGGCACCAACCAGGTGACTGGCTCAGAGGAATGTGAGAGGCAGCAAGAAGAAATACTGTGGTATTTAGCTCATACAAAAAGCGGAGTGGGGTGATAAATCCACTACATGTGACTAACAGAGTGTCCAATACATAAAATATATTCCTCATAGCCAAAAAGACTGCAAGGAGCCAGGGATAATGCAAATGCAGAGGGTTCAGGCAGTTATATATCTTTGGGGTAGATTTAATAAAACACTGTAATCTATTTTCTTAAGCCAATTTGTTTCTATAGAGAAAAAAACCTCAAGGGTACCTAAAAGTGAGAACCTGTATTGTCTGCCTTACCTTCTTCAACTGGGATCCTGGTGTTCTGTGTTGAGGGAGCGAATGGAAACATGCAAAAAAAAAAATAATAAAGGAATTAAATATACCTATACAAGATAAACCATTTTTCCCTAATAAAAGTAATTTATGAGGCTTGGGACCTAAACATTAGTGAAATTCCTTTGAGAAATTTTAACCTGTTGTTTAATGATTAGTGAAGATGACACCCTTCCATGCCTTTGTTCTAAGCACTTTTGTTTCCAGTTGGATCCCTGAGATTATACACCTAAAAATGCCAATTCCAAGGGGGACATTTTGTTGAAGTTATTGAACCAGAGGTTTAAATGAAACAATGCTTTTGGTCTGGGTGCGGGATCAGTGTGGAGGACCATTCAGCATGGCAGAGCTTGGCAGCATGAGGGCTTCAACTGTTTCTCCCCAGAACAAGTGGTTTAAGGCTTTACATTTTATTTATGGGTCTATAATTGATTTCTTGTATGTGTCCAAGCAAACACCACCCATGTGTACTACACAATGAAGTTATTTGAGAGAGATGTGTTCTCTATAACTGTATAGCAGCTGTGGAGTTATATATTCTCAGCAGATCACACATATCTAAGCAGCAGTCTTTTCCCTTCTCTTCCATAGAGATAAACTTTGCCATTACTCTTTTTAAAAGTGCATTTTGCACATCTTTCTGTGACTTGGTAGTTTACATGCTGATAATTTCTAAAGATTATTTTCCAATTTGACAGTAGAACAAGGAGTTATTATATACTATATGCAAAGCTTTAATGAATTTTTCTAATAATGTCAGGGATTCTTTGATTCTTTGATTGCTAAAAATTTTACACTGAATTTGTGTGTTTTCCTTCATTTGAAAGTATGTAATCCTAAGAGTTCCCAGAAGCTGCCAGGTGGTTTTGCTTCTACAGGAAAAAGTAATAAAGACAGGATCCATGAGATGGTTTGGCTCTATAAACAGCATAGTCATTGTTTGGGGAAAGTAACACACAAATATTAATGGAACAATTAAAATGTCTAGCACTACAGGATTTATATCACTAATAATTATTTTTTTCACTATATTGCCACCATCTTCTTAACTGTATATATAAAATTTAAGGTGTGGCTTGGATATTCAGTGTGTTTAGATTAGCTATCTAATAGTAGATTACTCAAACACTGAACTAGATACAGGATCACCTCATACTTGTGCAGCTCAATTCCCCTTCCTGTCAGTCCATTCTATCATTTATGCATGGAGAAAACATTTTTATTCCAGTGGGTTGAAAATCTTGATATTCTTTCTGAAAAATAAGGTGTGCTTCCTAGCAGCGAAAGTAAAAACACATTTATTTCTAGTGGCTGTTACAATATTACACTTTAAAACATTCCTTAAACCTTGGGGTTTTTTATTACAGTATTACGTTAGACAATTGTCTATATTAAACATCTTTACATTGTCAGAATTTAAGGCATCACTTTGTGATTGAAGTCAGTGCGAGATCTATGTCTGGCTTGAGTGGGCATAGGATCAAACATCTCTATTGCAAGCATCTTTATACTAATATTTTATTATAGCAATTTAGAAGACTGTTAAGGGGGCACAGTTGTCTTTTGAAGCAGTTTAATGCTTATGTGGTTACTCAGAAAGTTAATGCTAATAGGTAAAATGAACAATACTGTATAAAGGAAAGAGGGAACGTTTGGTCAGAAAATTGATGTTTTTAACAGCATTTGGTAGAGCAAGGACATAATTTAAATGGAGCGCATACATAAACATAGCATACACCTCAGCAGTGAAAACTTCAGAACATGGAAAAAAATCATTTAAGTTAATTCATGAGCTGTATTTTGCGTATGCCATTTTGATTAGAAATGTTCAGTTGTATATCCATGTTTATGTATATACAGAAAAGGTCATTAGAACCTACTCAGTCCAATTAACACAATGCAAATGGAATTTGCATTCTAATTAAAAACAAACAAAAAAAGCGTTAATAAATCATGCCAAAATTCTGTCTTCCACTTAAGTGGAAAGAAAATCTAATTTAAAGTTACTGTAAATCTTCAGCTGTTAATTTCATGCTAAATAATTCTTTAAATATTTCTGGTGGATGTAAATATAATTCTTCCTGAGAGAAGAAATACTCAGATATAATCTGAAAATAATAAACCCAGGATAGAAATAATGGTAGGGAAAATAAAGACAAAATGCTTTTTTCCCCCCTTTTTTTTGTTTTTTTAAATGTATGGACTGTTGCCCTTTCTTAAGTGGAGACATCAAAGGTTAAGGCTGAGGGACAGTCACCAACAACCCATCTTCACACCAATTTTTACTGTAGTAGCTCCTCCGAAATAACAAATACTAATGGGCTGCATACCCAGTTCCTCTTTGGACTTTGGGCCATTATGGAAGTGATGTGGTTTTTATGGGATATTACATTTAAACAGTGAAAAGTCCTTACTGGGATTTCAGGACTCCTTTCTGTCATGACTACCGATTTGTTCAGAATTTAGCCAGGTAGCACACCGGGTGATGATTATGGGTGGCCACAATAATCCGTGAGAGAGAGACATAGGCAGAGAAGGAAAATGAGTTTGGATTTGAATGGTGCTCTATGGAGAACTTAGATGAGGAGAAGAGTCTGTTCTCCAAATTACAGTTCTCTGCTGTGAATTCAGCTGATAGAGGATAGTCACCTGTAGGCTGACAGGGGAAAAAAAGATTTTTCTTCCTTTTTTATTTTGCAGTAAGTACCTTAAGTAGAGTTTGTTAATACTTCTGTTGAATACTTCTAGGGAAGTGATTGTCCCCCTGTACTCGGCACTGGTGAGGCTGCACAAAGACATTGAGGTGCTGGAGCGTGTCTGGAGAAGGGCAACGAAGCTGGTGAAGGGTCTAGAACACGAGTCTTATGAGGAGCGGCTGAGGGAACTGGGGTTGTTTAGTCTGGAGAAGAGGAGGCTTAGGGAAGACCTTATTGCTCTCTACAACTACCTGAAAGGAGGTTGTAGCGAGGTGGGTGTTTGTCTCTTCTCCCAAGTAGCAAGTGATAGGATAAGAGCAAATGGCCTCAAGTTGCACCAGGGGAGGTTTAGATTGGACATGAGGAAAAATTTCTTTACTGAAAGAGTGGTTAAACATTGGACCAGGCTGCCCAGGGAAGTGGTTGAGTCCCCATCCCTGGAGGTATTTAAAAGACGTGTAGATGTGGTGCTTAGGGACATGGTTTAGTGGTGGACTTGGCAGTGTTAGGTTAATGGTTGGACTCGATGATCTTAAAGGTCTTTTCCAACCTAAATGTTTCCATGATTCTAATATTTCTTTAGAAATCATTTCAGCTCCTAGTTAGCAGTATAGAGAGGTTTGGGAACTGGTGTCACACAGGTTTGATGGAGGAATTGCCTTCCAGTGACCAGCCTTCATCAGAGAAGCACCCAGGTAGCAGCAGGATGTCAGGGAGAGTGCTCAAATCTGAAGGAGCATTTGGCAGAGGAGCAAACCACCTGCAGCCAAGGGAATGGGCATTATGTAAAACTTAGGCATTGCTAAGGCCTTAAATATTGGTGGTGCCTCTTAAGAAAGAGGCTAAAGCAACATTTTTTTAGTAAAAACTCTACAAATTTTTATTAATTTAATTCTTATGAAAGAGTTATGATGTCTGTTGATGTATTTTATTTTCTGAAGTCTTCAGTTATGAAGATCCACTGCTTTCAGGTGTTTAAGTGCTACATAGAATTGTTTCCAGTTAGCTATTGGCAATTCCAAATTAAGAATAGCAAGGCCTCAGTGAAAAATAGAAAGCAGTGAAACAGATGTTTGAAGTGGAGGACTGTTCATTTTGTTTTCCCTTCCTTTCTGCACAATATCGATTTTATTTTCTGGTGTTGTTCCTTTCAGAGAGTGAATCTGTCCTTCGATTTTCCATTTTATGGCCATTTTCTACGTGAAATTACTGTGGCAACTGGGGGTAAGTGGCTTTCTAACCATTTACTTTGAGTAATATGAGAAGAGTTTCTCACAGCTATTTAAAATACCTTTTTTCCCCCTTATATGTCAAGAGATAAACTGCAGCATGCATTTAGGAAAATTTACTTCCCACAAAAAGAAAATTATTGATATGATGAAAAACCTCCAGCTGCTCAAGTTGAACTGTTATAAAACCCTCTTGGTGTAAGACATTTTCTATTCAGGTATTTCCCCCAGAAATCTTTTGTGTGTGTGTGTGTGTCTGGAGCAGTTGCACTTGTGGAGCTAGTGCTGGAGCCAAAATAAGGAGGGAAACTTAGGTTTTGCCTGCATGAGGGCATAGGATTTACTGTCCAAAGATAAGAAGTGCTGCTAGAAGTATGTAACTTGTCACCTGTAAGACAAACCCGTTGTAGTGTGTTGCCTTGGTGTGGTACAGTGTCTGCAATAGTACCATGGTGTTCCTCTCCTTCTGTGGGGTAAGATGGGAGGTATAGCACAGCTTGAGCTCCTGGTCTTGTAGCTCTGGGCACCACTGATGGCTCGTGGTTGGGGCTTTCCCTCCCACCACTGCTGGCTGCTGTTTGCACCAATCTCCTGCACTAGGAACAGCCATTGACCCCTTCTGCTCCCCTCCCACTCCACCTCCTTGAAAGACAAAGGAGACCAGAGGAAAATGAAATGACATGGAAGACAACAAATGAGAAAAAGAAGGAGGAGGAGTAATGGTCAAAAAATGAAAATAGGGAGGCAGAGGGCAGCATCACAGAGAGCACACCCACAGCATCGTCTGGTCCTTGAACGTGTCCAGCAAGTTCATGGACTCTGGCTGGTGGTGCTCTGCCTAGAGGTGTGACAGGACAAGCAAACAGAAATAAGGGTCACCATCACCAGGACCAATCCTACCCTGCCGCGGTCAAGGTTTCTCCTTCTCATGCTATGGGTGGCCAGCCAGCCAGGATCAGGGGATGCCCATGTCCCACTGGAGCTCTGAATGGGGAAGGTATGACTAAAAGATTAGGGAAGAATTGCAGCCAGTGTCTCAACAAGAGTAGGAGCTGGAACAGAGGTTTCTGTCACGCTCTGTGTCAGGATCCCCATTTTGCTACCAAAGAAGAAGAATACAAGAGATAGAGGTGGAAAAAGGCTGATATTAAATGGTTGATTTGCAGTCAGAATGATAAAAAAGGATGCAGAATTATGGGGTGACTTCAGTACCAGGGTTTCTCTTCTTGATCAACAATGACATTTTGATGCTGATTTGGATCAGATGAGCCATCATGAACTACTGATTGGGATTTTGAGACTTGTCTGATTTCCATTCTGCTTTGCTTTTAGTTTCGTTTTGGTGCTTGATCATCAGTGCCTAGTTCTGTATTCTCTTATTAGAGGAGTTGCGTTTGATGGGGTGCCAAAATCAAGTGCATGATCTGTGTAGCATGAAACAATGGGGTGGGATGGATCCTGCACAGCTAAAACAGCAGCAGTGGGGACAGTGTTCATTCTGTAAATGCCCCCTTATTCTTACTGCTGAACTTGGTTCCTTAAAACTTCACAAAGTTCACTCTTTCTCCAAGTAATTCTTCTTGTGTGGTCACTCTGCTGGGCCTTCACTTTTAATGGAAGCCCTGAATTTTTACCACTGCTGTTGCTAATATGCTGCTGTCATCAGGCTACCCCATCTGCCCCCAAAGACTTGGGAGTAAAGTTAAGCTCCCAAGGAGAGCTGTGTAGTAGTAATTTGTGAGGGAAACATTTTTTCTTTTGGTGTAGAGCATTTGGGGAATTTGGGTGTTTTGGTTTTTGGTTGTTTGTTTTGTTTTGTTTTTTTTTAGTGGTGGACTTGGCAGTGTTAGGTTAATGGTTGGACTCGATGATCTTAAAGGTCTTTTCCAACCTAAATGTTTCCATGATTCTAATATTTCTTTAGAAATCATTTCAGCTCCTAGTTAGCAGTATAGAGAGGTTTGGGAACTGGTGTCACACAGGTTTGATGGAGGAATTGCCTTCCAGTGACCAGCCTTCATCAGAGAAGCACCCAGGTAGCAGCAGGATGTCAGGGAGAGTGCTCAAATCTGAAGGAGCATTTGGCAGAGGAGCAAACCACCTGCAGCCAAGGGAATGGGCATTATGTAAAACTTAGGCATTGCTAAGGCCTTAAATATTGGTGGTGCCTCTTAAGAAAGAGGCTAAAGCAACATTTTTTTAGTAAAAACTCTACAAATTTTTATTAATTTAATTCTTATGAAAGAGTTATGATGTCTGTTGATGTATTTTATTTTCTGAAGTCTTCAGTTATGAAGATCCACTGCTTTCAGGTGTTTAAGTGCTACATAGAATTGTTTCCAGTTAGCTATTGGCAATTCCAAATTAAGAATAGCAAGGCCTCAGTGAAAAATAGAAAGCAGTGAAACAGATGTTTGAAGTGGAGGACTGTTCATTTTGTTTTCCCTTCCTTTCTGCACAATATCGATTTTATTTTCTGGTGTTGTTCCTTTCAGAGAGTGAATCTGTCCTTCGATTTTCCATTTTATGGCCATTTTCTACGTGAAATTACTGTGGCAACTGGGGGTAAGTGGCTTTCTAACCATTTACTTTGAGTAATATGAGAAGAGTTTCTCACAGCTATTTAAAATACCTTTTTTCCCCCTTATATGTCAAGAGATAAACTGCAGCATGCATTTAGGAAAATTTACTTCCCACAAAAAGAAAATTATTGATATGATGAAAAACCTCCAGCTGCTCAAGTTGAACTGTTATAAAACCCTCTTGGTGTAAGACATTTTCTATTCAGGTATTTCCCCCAGAAATCTTTTGTGTGTGTGTGTGTGTCTGGAGCAGTTGCACTTGTGGAGCTAGTGCTGGAGCCAAAATAAGGAGGGAAACTTAGGTTTTGCCTGCATGAGGGCATAGGATTTACTGTCCAAAGATAAGAAGTGCTGCTAGAAGTATGTAACTTGTCACCTGTAAGACAAACCCGTTGTAGTGTGTTGCCTTGGTGTGGTACAGTGTCTGCAATAGTACCATGGTGTTCCTCTCCTTCTGTGGGGTAAGATGGGAGGTATAGCACAGCTTGAGCTCCTGGTCTTGTAGCTCTGGGCACCACTGATGGCTCGTGGTTGGGGCTTTCCCTCCCACCACTGCTGGCTGCTGTTTGCACCAATCTCCTGCACTAGGAACAGCCATTGACCCCTTCTGCTCCCCTCCCACTCCACCTCCTTGAAAGACAAAGGAGACCAGAGGAAAATGAAATGACATGGAAGACAACAAATGAGAAAAAGAAGGAGGAGGAGTAATGGTCAAAAAATGAAAATAGGGAGGCAGAGGGCAGCATCACAGAGAGCACACCCACAGCATCGTCTGGTCCTTGAACGTGTCCAGCAAGTTCATGGACTCTGGCTGGTGGTGCTCTGCCTAGAGGTGTGACAGGACAAGCAAACAGAAATAAGGGTCACCATCACCAGGACCAATCCTACCCTGCCGCGGTCAAGGTTTCTCCTTCTCATGCTATGGGTGGCCAGCCAGCCAGGATCAGGGGATGCCCATGTCCCACTGGAGCTCTGAATGGGGAAGGTATGACTAAAAGATTAGGGAAGAATTGCAGCCAGTGTCTCAACAAGAGTAGGAGCTGGAACAGAGGTTTCTGTCACGCTCTGTGTCAGGATCCCCATTTTGCTACCAAAGAAGAAGAATACAAGAGATAGAGGTGGAAAAAGGCTGATATTAAATGGTTGATTTGCAGTCAGAATGATAAAAAAGGATGCAGAATTATGGGGTGACTTCAGTACCAGGGTTTCTCTTCTTGATCAACAATGACATTTTGATGCTGATTTGGATCAGATGAGCCATCATGAACTACTGATTGGGATTTTGAGACTTGTCTGATTTCCATTCTGCTTTGCTTTTAGTTTCGTTTTGGTGCTTGATCATCAGTGCCTAGTTCTGTATTCTCTTATTAGAGGAGTTGCGTTTGATGGGGTGCCAAAATCAAGTGCATGATCTGTGTAGCATGAAACAATGGGGTGGGATGGATCCTGCACAGCTAAAACAGCAGCAGTGGGGACAGTGTTCATTCTGTAAATGCCCCCTTATTCTTACTGCTGAACTTGGTTCCTTAAAACTTCACAAAGTTCACTCTTTCTCCAAGTAATTCTTCTTGTGTGGTCACTCTGCTGGGCCTTCACTTTTAATGGAAGCCCTGAATTTTTACCACTGCTGTTGCTAATATGCTGCTGTCATCAGGCTACCCCATCTGCCCCCAAAGACTTGGGAGTAAAGTTAAGCTCCCAAGGAGAGCTGTGTAGTAGTAATTTGTGAGGGAAACATTTTTTCTTTTGGTGTAGAGCATTTGGGGAATTTGGGTGTTTTGGTTTTTGGTTGTTTGTTTTGTTTTGTTTTTTTTAAACATGTAAGCTTATAAGTATCGCTGCAGCTCTGCAACACTCTTTTCTCCTGCTGTTAATGGAACACTGAATTATAATTCAGCTTTTCTTTTTGCTCTACTTCTACTAAATAAAATAATATTGCTGTGAATAGATCTATGGATTATTGTCAAGCTAAATAGGGCTTTAACATCAGTCCTTTTACTATAGGCCACTGACATTAGCACAGAGATACTTCTGCCTTTCATGTGACACTTCCATGATTTTCAACCTCAAAATTAAGCATGAAAAAGTAAGATCTAGTCAATAATCACTTTATTATCTTGATAAAGCCCAGTAACTATAAGTCATCCAGGACACGATGCAAGCTTTTCTACAACTTTAAGACTCCTAAACCCATTTAGCAGGAAAAAAAACAGATCTATTTCTGTCCTAACTCTGATAAATGTTTTGCTTTGGCTATATTTGCAAATTTTGTTACCATAAGTCATTGGTGGTGCAGTGTGGCTTAAAGCCTAGCAACAAAGGATAAAGACACGTTCCAAGTGCTTTTTATACTGTATTGTCTACTTTCTTAGTAACCAAGATTTTACAATGGCATTACTATTATTAGAGATCTGGAACACCTCCAGAGGTTATTCTGAGATCAAAAGAATGACAGAGTTAATATGTACAGGAGTCCCACATGACAGATGTCCACTTCCTGGAAAGCAGGATATGATTAATTATGCTAATGACAACACTACAAACTGTCTTTACCTCCAAATCATAAATTAAATAACCTTGTTAAAAGGAAAGTTGAGGATAATGGCACATTAAATCCCTGTCACAATAAAAACGTCTACCCAAATGGTTTCTGCCATTCTTCATGGAGGTTGTATTCTGGCATAGTAGGGTTTCCAAGTTACTTAAGATGACTTTGAAATTGCTGATGTGTAAAACTGAACCTTTTCTTCGGTTTAACTAATATTTATTTCCTCTTCTGAATGGTTTTGCTGAGCTGATTGTGTTTGACTAAGGAAAGGAAGAACAGGGAGTGAAAATAACTAGTTTGAGGACTTTATTGACTGTTGTCCTTAGCTTGTATTAGACAAGGCTATTTAATTCATAACTAGGAGGCAAGATGGCTTATAATATTATTAACATAGTTAGTAATTTGTGGTTCTTTGGGATATGGGCATCTATCTCCCCACATTCCTTTAGAGAGCATTTTTCAAGCAACCTCTGGAGTGCTCTCAAAGCTTTATTAATAGTAGATAACACAAGAACTGAGTTTTGGTTTTTGTGAAGCTTTCTAACATTTGTGCTCTGCAGGCCACAAGTGCAGTTATTTCTGTAATAAACCACTCGTGAATTAGTGAATCATGTTGCGAATGTCAGGCAGCTAAGCTCATAAAGTCTGTTTTGTTGCCTGTCACTGATATCCCTAACAGAGCTCGGTGGCCGTGGAGGTGGGAAAACCCTCTCTCTGCTACAGCTCTCCAGGCAGTAACACAGCCCTTCTCACGGGAGTCCTTGAAGCTCTGTGGTCTCCACATCTTATTCAACGTGCAGCAATGCTTCATACTTGGTTGTATTAATTTTCCATGCTCATGGTAGTAAGTCCCTCTTGTTTATTCTCTGTGGCTTATTTTTTTGTTTATCAGTCTATGTTTTCTAGTGCAGCCTTGTATCAGATACTGTAAATTATTTAGGAATTTTTTTCCTTGTATGGCATCTCTCATTGACGTTACATGTCTCTATGGTATTGCTATGCCTGTAGCAGCATTGCAGAGGAGGGTGGTAGCTAACCTAGATTATTATGAATTTTAATTAAACCTTATATTTGTTGCCCGGGATTAATAAAGGTTTTAATTTTCTCTTTTGGAATTTTGCCTGATGGTTTGAATGATCAGAGGTCATGAGGGGTCTTAAGTAGTTTCAGTCTCTGTTCTTTCCATGGAATAACTGAATATTATTGTATATAACCTGTAAATCAAGAACATGGAATAGAACCAAGCTGCTTAGGAACATAAAACATATTTGATTTTCACATTTAACTATATATATTTGGAAGCAGCAAGGGAAACAGCAAATAAAAAAATAGTTCTGTATTATCGTATACTGGGAAAACAATATTTCGGTCATGGAACTTTTCTCTAGACATGCTATCAAGGAAATAGTTAAGCAGTTTTTCATAAAAGAATACCTTAGGTCTGTCACATTTTATTGGACAATGCAGAAAACTTAGCATGGGTACACCTGGTATTTTATTAGGGAATCCTTCAAGGTATGTTCAAGTCTTTCTCTCTTTCTTTTTTTTTTCTTCTTTTTTTACATGTATTTTGTTTGAAGACTTTTTGACGGTATCTTTTTTCTCTATTTCAATAGCAATCATATTTTTATAGGTAGTGTAATATATAAATATTACTAGGTGAATTCAGCGGCAGATCTTGAACTGACATAAGTTTACACTATTTTGGTGTCTTGGTTTTTGCTGTTGCCTTTTGAACCAGGATGAGTTCAGCAACATTCTTGCTGGTACATCTCTGATTATAATTTTGTCATCCTCACAATGATTTTAATGAGTCTATGCAGTCTTCCTGAATTTACCCCTTGGCAACCAAGATTGAGGGGGTTTTTTAATCTAGAGTTCATAGAAAAATAATGTATTATTTTATCAATCATATCTATGTTAAACATTATTTCAATTTTTTCCTACTTTTTTCCTAAAATCTTTAGGAAAGTTTCCATATTCCATATTTTTTTGTAGTTAACTTTCCCGTATCGTATGCCTGTAATGACAGCTGCTGTTAGTTAGCATTGAGTACGCTGGTAGAGTTTTCAGAGATAATGATACCATCTAAATGTAGTTAAGAGCTTCCACTGTAGAAAAATCTGGTTATCAGGTTATTATATGGGGCTGACGACATAGAAAATTTTGAGGATTTGTGCAAAATGTGGCTCCACAAGACATCCTACGTGAACAGGATTGAAGTCAGGAGCCGAAAACTTCTTGCTTGACCCATGCCGGACTCACACCCGGATTGTAGGCTTCTGGGTGGAAGTCTGTGAGTTAGGTTTTTACAGAGATTGATGGTATCCCGGCTCTTGCTCCAGCTCGTCTTGTAGACACAATGGTGACAACAGAATGAGAAACTCCATCCCTGTAGACACTGGTAATTTAGGGTGACGTAGAGGCCTGGAAAG